CAAAAAAAATGCTGAGGCTCTCAGTGCCTGGGGAGTCACTAGGGCAGGAACCTGTCATTGGCAGAGGTTTGCCTCCTCTGGAGCACGGGCATCTGTACTAGGCATGAGAGCAGACGTCTAGGGGACAGGGAAATATACCAAGAGGCAAAATAATGACCTTGTTCAAAGTGGTTTAAAAATCCAGCAGGAAACACTAGTGTCTACACTCTAGTTCATCAGATCAGTTTCTGGAATCCATCTTAAGAAAGTAATACAACACTAAATGAAGGCCAATGTGATCCCAGTGACAGGAGGCCAAGGCAGGAGGACTGAGTTTGAGGTCAGCCTGGACAATCTAGAGAGACTCTGTCTCAAAATTCAAGACACAAAATGAGTTGCATTTCACAGGTGTTTCTGGCAGCACTTCTGGGGAACATAGGCTTCTTGGGCCATCACAAGAGCGTCCAGGAGGGTGAACTGCGAGGGTGTGACCCAGGGAGGCCGGGATGAGCCAGGGCCAGTTCCAAGGGGAGAACTGCTCAAGCCTCAATCTTCCTCTTCCAAGCATGTGCAGACCTCCTCCTCATCCACCCCAGGGTTGTGTACCCAGGGAAGCGCCCTGTGCCAGGATTCCAGGGGTCTTGGCCCCAGAAGCCAGCCATTAAGCCAGCCACAACCCCCCAAGAAGGGACTGGATGTCTAAGAGGTTGCGTCCAGTGTAGCCACCGCAGGGGGGCGGCAACAGTCAGCCCAGCAGGCAGGTTCCAAAGTTAGCCTTCTTCTGATTCAAGAGTCAGCTTTCCTCTTGGGAATGTGGTTTTATTACTTTATAATAAAAAGGTGATTATTACAAACTTGTTGAGTTGCTAAGCCTCTAGGATGGTCATAAAGTCTGAGGTAGATGATCTCAATACCTGCTTTCAACACTGCTTTCTATTTTGGAATCCCTGACGAACCTTAAGAAACACAGGATTACAGAAATGTGGACTGTGAGTCACGTCACTGAACTGAGTTTGCTATAGGTGGCCTAGAGGCCAAGGATCAGAATCCAAATGAAATAAACCCCAATTTGGGCTCAACACAAGACCATAAAAGGAAAGCAAGGCAAAATGTGGGTAAGCGGCCCGCCTGTGTGACTCACCTGGCCTCCAGAGAGCAGTGACCAGCGCTTTTTGGTGCATAGTGAGGGCTACAGCAGCTCAGAGCCGGCCCATGGCCACTTGGGGGCACAGCTGCCCTGGACAATACAAAACATCCACCTTGCTCTAATCTAACCACTGAAAACATCCCTGAGTCTACGTGATACCCAACAGAACAAAATCAGTCTGCTCCTTTTCTGATAATAAGATGCTATAATCTAATACCATGGCTCTTAGCAATGCAGTAGTTTAAATTTTAAGGTTATTTCTAATTTATCAAAACCAGGCCTATAAATTTCGAAGTCACTACTGCCATTACCAACACCTCCATGTCAATCAGCTTACTGCCAACTCACCCAGCACTCTCTAGTTCCGTGGACTTGTCCTGTTGGTCCTCACCTTACAATGAAGAATTCCTTGCACAAGTGGACATTCCTGAGTATGTCCTACGTGAGAATGAGTTGCCAGCACAGTGTTGTCTATGTACCATTCACTGGGGAGTTTAAAAAGGAACCAACGACACACTCTGGGCTTGTGAATCAAGTGATTTTTATTTTTGCAGCCAAGATGAGGAGGCCAGGTCACTCCAGAAGAGGGCTCAGTGCTGAGGGGACTCACGTCCAGAAGAGGGCTCAGTGCCGAGGGGACTCACGTCCAGAAGAGGGCTGAGGCATCCTGAACTGGGAGAGGTCCCGGTTCAGGTCGAGGAATGTGTACGTGTTGTAGTCGTGATGCTGCAGGTTCTTGTAGGTGGTGGTGTCATTTGGCTTGGGGGGCGCTGGGGCCTGGGCGGGCTCTGCGGAGGAAGCACAGGACAAGAGGGGCTTTCGGAGACTCATCCCAGCAGCTTCCACCAATCCTACCTGTGACGAAGGAACTGTCTACTTAGAAAGGAAAGTCCGCGGAGGCACCATACCTTCAAAAGCAAGACAAGGATGTTAGTTGAAAAGTGATTCGAAAACTGTGGCCCTAACCATTCAGGAGTGATAATTATTACACGACCACCTGGGGACAAAGCTGTCACTGGGCCATATAAAATGTTCACCTCTCCCTGACCTCACCCATTGAAAACTGCCCCAGGTTGACATCACAAGCCCACTAGAGGAGGGGACCACGCTGCTCTGTCCTGGTAATAAAATAATAACGACTTAACATCTCACCCTGTGTACTTCCAGGCCCCAGATTTTAAGTTTAAAAATGCCTAGAACCATTACAGGACTTTCAGTTTGCATGAAGATGCATGGGAAAGAATACTACCTCTATCAGAAATCTGTCTGTACTAGAAATAAACTATTTGTAGAAGAACACTTCCCTAAGCAGAACTAAGTGAGCCTGCCAGTCTGTTAGAAGATTAGGAGAATTCTGGCACTTGGTGACCGTAAAACTGGAAGCGTTGGCTGAAGCACAAGGGACTGCTCCTCTGCCACACCACATGCGACAGGACAGGATAAACCTTGCATGGGGCAACAGGACTTCCATGGACTCTAAAGTTCCTGGGAATCAGAGGTTGGGCCATCTCAACTTCTATTTGTGCTTCACCAAACATAATGCACACAAACTTTTTACTATTCTAACCAATGCCAAAAGCTCTGTTTCTCACAAAAAAAGTCTTAAGAACTGACATCCTTCCAAAGTCTACAAGCCAAAGCCCTTCAGTGTGCTGTACACACACCTTTGGCTAACGCAAGGGGATGACCACAGTGGCCATGCTAAACTGAGGGGGCAAAGAGATTCCCCCCACCCCACTGCTAGAGATGAACCCAGGGCCTGGCTTGTGCTGGGCAGGCACTCTGCCACTGAGCTACATCCCAGGCTGGCAAGTTGGTTTGCAGTCTGAAAATCTCAACGTCCTAGTTTCACCCTGAGGGTTTTGGCACCTCCATCTGAGAGGGGAGGAATGAAAGCAGAAGCGCGAGGAGAGGCAGGGCCTGAGGTCGGGAGAAGCCTGGCAAGCAGGGCACTAGAGCTCACGTAAGAGGGCTGGTGGAAAGGGAAGCAAACACTCATCCTGTGACCACATCAGGAGCGCACCAGGCGATGCACATGAGGCAGGGAGGCTTCCAGAAGGATGAAACAGAAACAGGAAGGAGAAGGTGTTGCTAGCGATGCTCTGTTTTAAAGAACCTGCTGAACCACAGATCCTAAAACTGAGGCCCTCCTGCTAACATCTGGCCGCACCCCCACAGCACATCATATCCTACAAGGTCTGATGCTCACGAAATGTAACAGTTAAGGGATGCACTGCTTTCCTCAGGAAGCCTGTTGTGTTTCTTAGGTAAATCAGAAAAGGAAATGTCCTGTGAAAAGAAAACCCTGCAGTCCCCAGCTGTCTTCGAGTGACACTCACTGCTTCAGCCCCTAACTGCGAACCTTCCCTCACGCCTGAGGGTGCTCAGGGCAATCGCTGGCTTAGTTCACTTCAAGACTATCACTACTCCCTTATGACTCTCACTCCTGCCTACTCAAGCTAGATGGGAGACCAAGGATGCTCACAGGTCACAAAATAGACATCTGGATGCCCTGGAAGGTTAAGGGTGGCCATGCTAAACTGACAGTCTGCAAAAATTATGCTGGTTAAGAGGTTGTCCAGAGTGCCAAGGGCACACTCTTTCATTAAAAAAAAAAAAAATGATATTGTCATATTGTGTGCATGTACAAATATGTAACAATGAATCCCACTGTTAAGTATAATTATAATGCATCAATAAAAAATTTTAAAAATGTTATCAGAAAAAGTAAAATATTTTAGGATTTTGTATAAAGATGTGCATTATCTGTAATTAATCTGTACTTCTCTGCCTAGCTGGACGGCATTGAAGGCCTAGTTTCTACTAGACGCTGATTAACATAACATTTCTTTCTAAGCAAGCAGAAATTCAGAATAGTGTGTTAGAGTCTAGCCACCCCAAAGGATAGAGTCTAACAAGGCGAGGTGTACCCTGTGTGTGGCCCTGGGCTTCCCTGCAGGGCGCTGCGTCTTCAGTGGCCTGGCCCCTCTCCTCAGGCTGTGGTCCTGCGGCCTTCTCTCCAGAGACGTCTGCCTTCTTCTCGTCTCTCACTGGTACCTGATCTTCCAAGATGCCCCCTTTGGCCTTTGAGTGTCTTTCCGTTACCTGTTTCCCCACGTTTTCTTCTCTGGCTGGGGGAGAAGAGGCTTTCCCACCAGGCCCAGGCACCTGAGGTTCTAGGCGTCTGCCTTGGGCCCCAGGGGCGGCAGCTGGCAGCTGATCCCGCGCCCTGGCCTCCTCTGTCTGCACTGCGAACACTGGGCGGCCACTCTGCTGTGTTGAAGGTCCAGCTTTTGTGTGGCCAGGTAAAGTGTCCTGAACATCAAATGGCTTTTGGCTTTCTTCATCTGTCTCATTGGAACTAAATATTTTCTGCAATTCTTCTTTCTTTACATTTTTCTTCAAAATCTCTTCACTGGCCTGTGAGCTGGGTGTGGTGGGTTTTGGTTTGGCTTCTTTTCTGTCCTTTACTGACTTGGTGGAGGGCCCCGTCTTCTTCAGCGGATGGGGCTGCCCTGGGTAGGTGACATCCACGGGTGGCCTCTGCACCCCAGTATTCTCTTTTGCAGATGCCGTGGCTTTGGGGTCTTTCTTCTCAAAGGGGCGGGTGGCCTCTGGCTTTGAAAACTGTCCCTTGCCTTTGCTCACCCCTGGGGGACTAACTTCTGGGACATCCCCCTCCTCGTCAGACTCTGAATCGGAGGAGCTGGATGAGGAGGAGGAGGAGGAGGAAGAGGAGGAGGACGAGTCGTCCCTCTGGTGCCCAGGAACCTGATGAACCTTGGAGTCAGAACCCTGTTCTTGGAATGCAGGCAGGACCTTTTGAGGAAATTCTACCAAAGTCTTCCTCGAAAAACGCTGCAGGGGCCCTTCCTCTGAGAGCAGCCTGCTGCCACTGGGGTGGGGGCTAGCTAGTGTCCCGCCTCTGCTCCCACATGGCAGGGGAGGACGGGGTGGAGACAGGCTGTCAGGCGGTGCAGCTGCAGTCTGGGGGGTTAGTGGCTTGACCCTCTCCTTTGGTTCCACTACATCTAGGAAACGGCATAAAGAGGAAGGTTATTTTTACTATTTAATGAAACAACTTAAACTCATTAGTCAAAGTCATTGACATTTCACTGCATATCAACCCATTACTTATAACACCTTCAGTGTAACCAACCGAAGACAAGTCCCCCGGGAAGTCTCCCGGGAAGGCTCTCCAGTGACACAACCAAGCTGTGTGCTTGGCAGCTAAGAACTGGAGATACTTCCTTCTCTTGCTGAAAACATTAAAGATGGAGATTTCTTTTTTTTTAAACCAACAGGAATAACAAACTGCATGCATTTTCTACACTAATGGCTTCTCTGTTTATGGTTATTTTTAAACTATTTCATCCAACAAAGATATTTTTAGATGACTACTGAAGTTTTATAATTGAATATTTCCTTGAATCCCTAAAATCAAGCAAATATTTGGTGTTTCTCCAATATTAAAAACAACAACAACAACAAACAAACAAAAACAAAAAAACCCAACCAAACAGTGAAAGTACATACAGGAGCCCGGCAGGGACTGGGGTCCCCACATGCATGTGTGTGAGAGGGGGTGGTGGGAGAGGATGGTGCAGTTCAAGTAAAACTGCCCTGAAAAGGAAGAAAAGTCCTTCACAGTCACACAGGTCATTTGGGGATTTCTTGAGCCAAAAAAAAAAAAAAAGTACTACGATACTGAAAAGGTCTAAATAATGTAATATCATAGGCATCAAAAAAAAAAAAGATAAGTACTAATATAATAAAAGTAGTCTTATATTTCATGGTCATTGATGAAAAAAATGAAATCAAGTAATATATCAATTAGAGCTAATTTAATTTAATTTTGTCAGCTAGTAATAAATGTTTTCTAACCACATAAATCAGAAGAAAAGTATAAGACACATTCTTAAAATTACCTTTCAAACTTAAAACAAAACTTTGAAAACTATTACGGGTGAGCAGACTTATATCCAGATTCCTGGAGGCCAGGCGCCTATTTTGTACTGAAAACAGATCTATCCTACTTCTCTAGGGTAAAACCTGTCCTCCCAACCACTCTGGCTTAGCAGTACCCAGCAGGGTTTTCTGAGCTCAGGAACCAATGACTAATAGACTGATATGGTGAGATCAAAGAAGAGGGCTGGGGCTGGGGCTCAGTGGTAGAGCGCTCTCCTAGCCCATGTGAGGCCCTGGGTTCGATCCTCAGCACCACATAAAAATAAGTAAATAAAATAAAGGTATTGTGTCCAACTACAACTAAAAGGTAAATATTAAAAACAAACAAACAAAAATGAAAAAAGAACCAGCCACTGGACGCGGGCCAGCCAGAGGGGGACAGCACTGTGAGGAAAAACGACCCGAGGGCTAGTGTGGGTGACTGCTGTAATCACCCCAGCCCACCACCACCATGCCCACCAAGCCACATAGGAACCTCGGACTCAGACCCTGCACTCGGAACCCCACCCCAGCAGGTGTTGATGCAGGTGCAGGGGACTTTCAGAGTGCACACGCAGCTGCAGGTCACGCTGAACGGAAGGTGAGCAAAGGGGTAGTGCACACTGGCTTCTGCTGTGTCTCTCTGAACCCAGCTGCCCAGCTCAGAAATTCCTAACAGCTGTGTCTAAGATGCTCCGGCCTTCAAACCCTGCCAGCCACTCACCTGGATTACTGATTCATCTCTATTTTGACTTGAATGAATTTTCCAAGTATGAAAAATAAAATTAAAAATAAGGCTATCTTACATGGGCTATTTTGAATAGAAAGATGGTAAGGATTGAATCTTTCAAAATCTACCAAGACCTTGTGCGTATGTGAGGTGCTGAGGTTTGAACTCAGGGCCTTGTGTACGCTAGGAAAGTACTCTACCACTGAGCTATTTCCCTATCCCTTGCATATATTAAAAATTGTAATGTTATTAAACCAGACTAATGGTGACACTGCAAGAGTTCTGTTCCTGTTTCTATTCTCTAAAAATGCTGCTCTTACACTCACTCATCTTGGTCTATGGATTTCATTCTTCGAATTCACAAGATAAAAACCCAGAAAGAAGAAATTGACAGTGCACTCTTGGGGTTGCTGCAACACTGGAGGGTGGGCGGGGCCAGCCACTGAGAGCTGCAGAGGACCACAGCCTTACCCAAACCCCACCTGCCAGCAGAAGGGGGGAATTAAGTTTCATCCCAAAACTTGGGTTCCACTGGGGCTGAGAATAGAGCTCGGTGATAAGAGTGCCAGCCGAGCACAAGGTCCTAGGCTCAGTCCTTAGCAGAAAAAACAAAACAAAGCAAAAACAACCCAACCTACATTATAAATCGATTTATTACCTCCAGAAAATGGAAAGAACATTTCAGATGGGACTGACAATGATATAACTTAGATATTTTATTTGAAAAGGAAACCTTAAGGGCTTGGATGTAGCTCAGTGGTAGAGTGATCACCTAGTATGCCTGAGGCCCTGGGTTCAATCCCTGGCACTGCAAAACAAAACAAAACAAAACAAAAAAACCCAAAGACAAAAAAAGGAAATTTCATTATATGAAACAAAAGGCATTCAAGTTTCTTTTGTCCCAGTTAGCTATTGAGAACACCCCAGGGAAAGGCTAACAGAGGACAGGAACAGATTTTGCTTTTTACCAAGAGCCAGTGTGTCTGCCCTGCCACAGCACAAGGCCAGCCTCCTCTGCATGGCTCAATAGGAAACCTGTCTGCTGATCTGTAGCTGCCTGCATCCCTAACTAGCAAGCCCAGGGTCCCCATCAGGTCTGAGTTTCACAGTAGAGAAGTGATGTCGCCTAGAAGACAGTTCTATCACATCAAGGAAAAGTGGTCTTTGCTCTGAACAGAGGTATTCACCCCAGTGCTTGCTCTCATTCAATGTCCAGAGACAGACTGTGACAACCTCTGACAATGCGACAGTGGCTTTCCTCAAAGACAAAGTAACAGAATGCCTGGCTGCTAAATAAGCCTCATGGGGCAGGTCCATCTCATAGCCCACTCTCAAGACCTCGAAGCCGCATGAGATAAAGGTCTGTGGTCACCAGGGAGCAGTTCTCCTCACACTTCTCTTCTCAAAACAGAACTTAAGCTTCTTGATTCTCTCTTTGGCTTGGTTGAAAAGTGAGGGAATAACCTTCAGGTTTTTAGCAAAAGCAAGGATGACTATAGTATTTTAAACAGATTAGTCACCTTAAAACACTTCCAAATCTTTTCAACAGATCACAAAACTAATTCAGCACACAAAGCACATTCAGAAGCAAAGGTCATCTAAACATGACATAGAAGGCTGAAGTTACTTAGGTTTTATAGGGTGATTATATGGTATTTGACATAAAAAGTTTTTCTTTTAACAAACGCATGAGAATGGAGATTTTTCAGCAGCAATATAGTATAGTAAATAAGATATAGACTATGAATCATAATGCCTGGGGGCAAACCGAGACTCCCTGCCACTGTCTCTGTGACATCTCAGCCTCACTGGTGACACAGGGTGACAGCAGCATCCACACACAGGCTTGTCTGTGGACACACAGATAATAAGGGGAAAGTGCTCAGAAGAGCACTTGGTATTATGGCTATAAAATAAATACATCAAATCTCTATTTCCAAATATCCTCACTTTTAAACCTGAGATAGGACTTGGAATGGCCAATCAACTTTGGTTTCTCAGCATACTCTTTAAAAAGCCACGCGGAAATTACCCAGCCAACGGTTTATACTGACTCAAAGTTCAGCTTGGTGAAAGGATCCAGCAGATGACAAACCTGCAGAGCCAGACATTCCCCAAGAGGGGCCCTGGGAGGATACCCTGGACTGACACTCACCTACTGCTTCCCTCAGGAAGCATGTGCAAAAAGAAGCTAGAAACTTCCAGAACAAGACAGAGCAACTTCTGTAGCCCAAGGCAAGCCCAGCCAGACCCTGTGGCTAGAGATGTGACCCCAGGGTGAGTACTCAGGGTCCCCATCTGCATGCAGAAAACTTCTACCAGAGCTGCTAAAGCCAGCTTGGGGTAGGAGGGTTTAAGATGACAATGTACCATGGAGGAGAAAAGAATGACCGAACCTTACACTTTCCTACCACTGACACTTCGGGGGAAATGCAGGCTCCGGGCGACAGTTTAGAAGCATTCTTTCTTTTTCTTTGTACAGAGATTGCTTTATGAGATGTAAATGTAATATGCACCCCAAACAATTGAAAGCTGTCTCCCACCCAAAAGCCCCTGGTCATTTATGAAGTTCACAGTTATCACATGCCCATGAGCCTAACACCCAGGCACACTGGACACTCAAGCCGGAAGGACCCAGGCCCAGACACCCGCAAGGATGCCACAGCTAGCGACAAAAGCTCCACAGGGGCCCAAGGCCAGCTCCCAGCTCAGCATTCCCATCCCATGATGGCACCCCAACCGTGGTTCCCACTGACAATGTGGAAGCACATTTCTAAATAGGAGGCTCTGGGCTCTGCCATGATATTTTCAAATTCACTTAGTTCAGATTCATAAATCTATGAGGTAGGATTACTGACACAAGGTTACAATTCACCAAAGGAAAGGATGATGGTACTGCCATAAGTAAAAAATGGGTTTGCACAAACAAAAAGTGTAATACAGAATGTAACTTTCTTTTTTTAAGTACTGAGAATTGAAGCCAGGAGCACTACACCTCTGAACTACATCCCTATCCCTTTTTAATTTTTTATCTTGAGACAGAGTCTCACTAAGTTGATCAGGCTGGCCTTGAACTTGAGGTCCTCTTTCCTCAACCTCTTAAATTGCTGGGATTACAGGCATGTGTCATAACTGACATACTCGTCACAAACATTTTTTAGGCGTGGTACTGGTATTGAGATTATTTTTACTAAAAGAAGAGTTCTTATGTTTAACACATACATTTTAAAAAATGCATTCAGATGGAAAAGAACATCAGATTTAAAAATGAGGCTGGTATAGGATAGAATTTTAAAAAGTTCCTGTGCAATACAGGCCTCAGGTCAACAGGACATGCAGAAACTACCAAGATGGTGAGTCTCCCCGGTGCAGGTGGGCAGTGTGAAAGTGGGGCTGGCATTCTCTACAGGTGCAAACTTTTAAAACCCCCAAATGTTCTATGTGCAGGTCAAGGAGACCACAAGCAAAAGAATCTAGACATTTTCAGACACTCAAACTGAAGAAATGGTATTTTGATAAAGGAAGACCAAATTCAGTTATCATTCTACAACCCCATATGAGGATCAAAGACCTGCAAAGATAGTAATACTGCATAGTCTTTCTAGAGTAAACTAAGTTTTCATCAATAAAAGCTAAATTAAGTGGACCTAGATCATGATCAATCATCAATGATGAACAAGGGGCTGGGAATATAGCTCAGTGGCAGAGTGCCTGCCAAGTATCCATGAGGCCCTGGGTTCCAACTCCAGCACTGCAGAAAGGAAAAGAGGGGAAGGGGAGTAGAGAATAGAAAATAAAAGTAATCCCAGAAGAGAAGCATTTAAAATTCACTGCTGCATTTCTTTTTGCTCTTCAATAAGGACATGTTACGTTAGTACTCAGGGAGAAGAAACAAAATTAAAAACTAGTGGTAAAAGTCAAAAGGATTGTGTAAAGAGCTGGAAACAGGTCAGACATTGTGCCTTAGCAGAAGGAGTCACAGTGGAACACTGCCTGCTCTTATTAATTCCTTCTCCACAGTCCTTAAATGATACCCACAATCCTGGTCTGTGACGGAGCAAACTGGGGAACCACCACAGGGTTTCAAAGAGAGAGAAGAAAGTCAAAATTGGGGAGGAAAGGGGCTGGAGTTGCAGCTCAGTGGTAGAGCGCTTGCTTAGCATGTGTGAGGCACTGGGTTCGATTCTTAGCACTGCATATAAATAAATTGAAAAAAAAAAGGTCTATCAAAATTGGGGAGGAAAATGAGGGTGTAGTTGCTCTACCTCACACTAGTGAGGTCCATGGTGAGGACACAGAAGTACTTCAGAGGACTAATGCTTGGTACCACTTGTTGGAGGTGGGTGTTTAGAAAACAAAAAGACCAGTTCCGGGTTGATGTGAGTCAAAGTACCATTTCTCATGTGTTTGGTCTGTCATAGCCCTCATATCTGACTATGATCTGGACATGGCAAGGATGAAGAGCCATAAGTTATGTAGCTAATAAACCTCATTTGCATGCATGGAAGGCTGACTAGGTATTTACTTGGCATTCTCTGTCCCTTATGATTATCATTAAAATCTTACTTTTTGGTAGACTTTGCTTCTTGGGATTTAGTGAATGTCCCTTTTCATTCTTCCCTGATTCCGCACAGAGAGAAGCTGTAGAGGCAAATCCTCGAAATACTCGTGCTTCTAGGAGCATAGTCTGACAAGAGAGTTAATAAATATGGATATTTAGAGTATTATCATTTATAACAGTTATTACAACATATAAATACTACATATTACTACTACACATGAATGTTCAAGGAACTAGAGGTTATTCCAATTTCCATAATAAATGTATATCATGGAAACGTGAGAAAATACAAAAAAGTTGCAACAAGAGAATGCCCAGGTTCAAGGATGATCACTGTTAGCATCTGAGTTAATAATGAAGGCTGTCCTCCTGTGTACACTCTTGTCATCTCCGACTCCGTTAACTTTCAAAATACATTTTGTTCTTTTTATAAACTGTTTTTCTATACTTAGAAACAAAAAATACAATCTGCAATTTAAAATGATGTACATAAATAATTGATTCAGAAGTACTTACAACAGAAATGAAAAATACCATGTGAATCCACTCAGCAGGTAATCAATAAGGCCTGCGTGTTAAACAGTCGGATGCTCTAGATGCTGGCCATAGAACAAGACGTGAAAACATTTGGCTTCCGACTGTAAGCAGGGAAAGTACATGCACACGCAAAACGGAAAAAAACGTTGGGAACTTAAAGGAGTAAATAAACAGTGGACACGACTATGGTTTCCTCCCTCACCTGTACTTTACTTAGCAGTGACTACTTACTGCTTCGGGGGACTGGGCGTGTGTCGCAGTGACAGGGAACGCAAGCTTGAGGCCTGGGTTCAATCCCAGCTCCAAAAAGGGGAAAGGCAAACACCGCTTTCATAATAAGATCCACTTTAAAATGAAACTAGCGGCCTCAGCTTTTCACAGAGAAGGCGATCTTTCACTGCCCGGAGGGGTGACCTCCTCCTCAGTGGCCACCGGGTCAGCCAGTGCCCTTATTTCACTTAATCACGGTTGGTTTTCGGCTAAATATGGGCACTGTCCTTACGGGAGCCGCGCGGGTGGCACGAGTCACCGTCGGACAGCGGTTCTCCACGCCGTGCGCAGCGGGGACGCCCGGGGAGATGCACACCTGCCCGCAGCTCCCCAGGTGACCCGGCCCGGCCGGGGCGGCGCCGCGCAGGGGGCCACCTCGCCCGGGCGGCGTCGGAGCCCAGACAGCCCGGCACCAGGGGTCCGCGGGTGCGGCCGGCGCGCGCCCTCGCCGGGCCCCTGCGCGCTCCGGGCCGCGCAGCGGGGAACTCCTCCGTACCTTCAGCGGCCCAGCTCGTCCTCGCCGCAGCACCAGCGAAGCAGCCATGGCGGAGACGCGCAGGCCGAGGTCGCACCGCAGACACGCCCCGCGACAGCACCCGCCGTCCCCAAACCGCCCCGGATCCGGAGCTCACCAATCCCGGGGCAGGAGGAGCGGGGCGAGGGCCTGCGCGCGCATCTCCAGCCGCCGGCTAGGCCCCACCCCCAGCCAGAGTCCACCAACCGCAGGCCTCAGCGCAAAGCGGCCCGCCCCGGGCAGATGTGGACCTGGTAGGATCGAGTGTGCAGGCTCCCGCGGTGCAAGGTGCCCTTCGCGCAGCTGTTGGGGCCCGGTGAAGATCCGAAGTGTTTGGGGGGAGTTGCACCCCTATTCTCGCAGTATGCGGAGAACGGATCTGGCTTTCCCCTTTATCTCACTTCGTTGCCAATTTCCTATCTTAAATCTGAAAACTTTCCCAGGTGCACAGCCTCATCAGTTCTGCCCTTAGTAGCATTAATGGTCCTATTTAAAAGTCCTTTGTGTTTTGTGGGACTCATTTATATGGCACTGGGATTGAACACAGCAGGGCTTAACCAATGAGCCACATCCCCAGCCATTTTATTTTAAATTTTGAGACAGAGGCTAGTTAAGTTGTTTAAGGCCTGGCTAAATTGCGGAGGCTGGCTTTAAACTTGTGATCCTCCTGCTTCAGCCTCTGGAGTTGCTGGGATTACAGGTTCACGTCACGACGTGGAACGTTTTGTGGGTTTTAAAGCTCCTCAGCACCATATCTCTGGGTCCATACCACGTGCCTGGTCTCCTTCCATAGCTACAACTGCAGAGTCTGATCAGACACCATCAATGTGGTCATCAGTCATCGTCCACCCTGCACGAACAGGCCTGCTTTTGGCCCAAGACAATGCTAACACCAGAATTAGATTGGAAATTGATGCTTTAGTTTACCTAAAAATTTATCAGTGCAAACATCCCACCACCCATTGGGCATAGTTTAGTTGTGGAGTAGGTGTTATTAGTTATCAGCTTCCTTCATGTTTCATTGAGTAGTGGTCTCCTGCCTCATCTCCCCTACTCCATGTCCAGTGCCCCATAAATATTTCACGGAAGATGAATGTTGTCACACCTCCAACTTCCACGGGGAAGAGGCCCTTCCACCAACAATTCAATTGAAAAGGGATCCCTGACAAAGCTGGAGATTTGTTTTGCCGGTGGCAAGATATACTGGCAAACAGAGGTCCCTAGACTCAGACCTGCATCCAAGCAGAATCTGTCTTGGAGTAAATGCAATAGTGGCCATCCTGGAAGGCAAAGAGGACAAACTTAGGGTCACCGTCAGAAGACAGTCCTTTGTTCTTATGAAGAAAACAAAGTAAAACATGCTAACACAAGGATTGACTCTTTCTCAAAACCAGACTAATTCCGCTGTCTCCAGGGGCAGTCCCTGCTTGTCTATGTGTGGTGTGCTCATTTGACCAGTGAATAACAAAACTGAAGGTGACAGGCTGGGTGTGGTGACTCAGGCCTTTGATCCCAGCAGCCGGCAGTGAATCTGAGGCAGGAGGATCGAGAGTTCAAAGCCAACCTCAGCAATAGCAAGGTCCTAAGCAACTCAGTGAGACCCTGTCTCTAAATAAAATACAAAATAGGGCTGGGGATGGGGCTCAGTGGTCAAGTGCCCCTGAGTTCAGTCCCCGGTACCCCAAAATAAACAAAACCTGAAGGTGACAGCCACAGCTTTCACTTGGGGAACCTGTACTGGACTTGGAAGACCCACATCACCTTCTCTGTGGTAACTGGAGGCCCCACTTCCCACACCACCACCAGGAGGACACATTCAGCCCCAGTTAGACATCTTTCTAGAGATGTAAGACTCAAGAACAAATAAAGACCTTGCCTGTCGCATTCCTCGTGACTAAAACACTCAGGGTCACTTCAGGGGAACTGGGCTGCACAAAATAACCACACAGAGACAGAGAGACCCTTTTCTTTGGGGTTCTCTAAAGCTCCTCTGACCTTAAGGGTCTGTAGAAAAAGAGAGGGAGTGTGTGCTGACCCCTTTTATTGAAGAGAAGCCATTCAAATGAGGCAAGGGGTGAGGATTCAGGGGGCTGAGTCTAGCTTCATGATGTCTGCTGTCAGCAGGTTGGACTGACATCTAGGAAGGCCACACCCAAGGGCAGAGTAAGGGAAGGGGACACACGAAGGGAGTTTCCATGGAACATTCTATCTCAAACAGGGCAAGGGGGTACTATCACAAAAAAACAGGTGAGCGTAGCTCGATCCATGGGATGCATGAAGACACATTCTGCTACTTTGAGGATCGGGGCAGCCGTCTAGGGCCACTATGAATGTGGCCAGATCACTATGAAAGTGACCAACAGAGCCTCTACCAATCACGGGAAGGAAAATGCTGGTCACTCAGCATGACGGCCCCTGACACTTTGCCTGTCGGAATTGTGCATGGTTTGTATGTGGTTTGTCCAGAGGGTTGTGTGTTAGAAGCTTTGTCCTGGCATGGTGATGTGGGAGTGATGGGACCTTTAAGGGCTGAGTCCTAGCGGGAAGTTATTAGGTCACTGGGGGATGCTGCCCTTGGCGGGAATTAATATAGTTCTCATGGGACTCTGGTTAGTCATGAGAGGGTTTTTTTTTAAAAGGAGTGAGACTGGTTCCTCCCTGCTCTCTGGTTTCTTGCCTTACCATGTGGTCTCGCCCTCTAGCTTGTGTTCCCATGGTGATGCCATCCACCATGATGTGACATAATGAGGGGTCCTTGCCAGAGCTGGCACTATGCCACTTGGAGTTTCAGCCTACAAAACTGGGAGCTGCACAGTCATCTTTCTATATAAGTCATCCAGCCATAAGGTTTCTTGAACAGCAACAGAAAATGGACAGATTGGTAGATATGGGATGCGGTCACCAGCCAGGCTGGCTTGAGAAGGGTGCATACAGTTGAGGAGGAGCCCTGGGAGGAAGAGGAAGAGGCAGAGGGAGCATAGAGCTGTCTTGAAGGTTTTTGAAGAAGGCTTGTGATTAACACTGTGAAGGTAACCATGACAACAGTGGTTAAGACCAGTGCCTGAGACTGGTGGGAGCTGGTCCTACGAGGGTGCTGAAGCAGCATTCTGGGGAGGCCGATGTGGCCCCCGCAGCACCTGGCCAAGTGTGTTCACCAGCTTTGCATCACTGTGGCCCATGCACCTGATAAGGAAGACTTAGAGGGGGAGAAGATGACTTTGAGCTCATGGTTTCAGAGATCTCAGTCAAAGGTCAGCTGACTCCAGTGAGGTGAGGTGAGGGCCTGAGGTGAGGCAGAGCATCATGGCAGGAGGGCGTGGTGAAGGGAAGAGGAAAGCTTCTTGGTCATGGCAGCCTGGAAGGCAGGGGTGGGGGAGACAGGAGTAGAGAAGAGAAAGAAGAGAGAGGAAGAGGAGTGGGAGAGAGAGAAGATATAGGCCAGGGACAGATACAGTCCCCAAGGCCACTCCCAGTGACCTAATTCCTGCAGCCGTGCCCCACCTGCCTACTGTTCCCGCTCAGAGGTCCAGTCAGATCATGCGCATCACGTGGGTTAGTCCTCTGAGGTGATCCCAGCCTTCCTGATCTGCTCACTTAGCTCTGACCTTACTGCGTTCCTGACACGTGAGTTTTGCTGGAGACCTTCCAGATCCAAACCACAGTAGCCAGAGAGAGTGGGAAGGTCAAGGTCAGCTTCAAGAGTCAGATTAAAGTTACTGCAGAAAAATCAAAGTAGCAGAGGCCAGTGGGTGGTTCACGAGTGTTTGTGGAGGATGACTGTAAGTTCCAATCATCAGAAGACTGGACGAGATCGTGCTGCCCCAGAGGCACTCCTGCAGTTGTTAGTTCTCTACCCAGAGCTCCTGTAGGCACCATCTTCTTTTCTTGGAGCACTAGCAAGCAATGGACCCAGGATTTTTAGATAAAAATATACATATTCATTGCTTTATAAATCACAAATACCTTCTCATGTCTCCTAAGGGTAAATTAAAAAAAAAAATTTGGAGGGGTACTGGGAATTGACCCCAGGGGCACTTTCCCACTGAGCCACATAACCAGCTCTTTTATTTTTTTTTAAATATATATTTTTTAGTTGTAGTTGGACACAATCTATTTTATTTATTTATTTATTTATTTATTTATTTATTTAATGTGGTGCTGAGGATCAAACCCAGTGCCTCGAATGTGCTATACGAGCACTCTAACGCTGAGCCACAACCCCAGCCCTCTTTTAATTTTTGATTTTGAGACAGGGTTTCACTGAGTTGCTTAGGGCGTTGCTTAGTTGCTAAGACTGGTCTCGAATTTGAGATCCTCCTGCCTTGCTTCCGAAGTAGCTGGGATTACAGGCTTGTACTATCATGTCCAGCTTAAGTTTCTTTTTAAAATAACTGTATAACTGGAGGATCACTGGGTCTATACCCTGACCATTTAACTTCAAGCTGTGGAGCCAAAGAGAGAAGTAAAAACACTAGATATCACCCTGTCTACCCTCAGGCCTCAGTTCTGCACCTCAGTTCAAATGCATGAATTCTTGTTAAGCCTTAAAGAAGATATGTCATGGCATTATCTTATGTAAATGAAAAGCATTTAATTATGTATCTTAAATTAAGATCTCTTTAGTGCTTTCCATCACACTGTGATTTTAAGATATCAGCTCTGGGCTGTGAGTGCAACTCAGTGGTAGAGTACTTTCTTGACTTGCCTGAACCCAGCACTGTCAGGGGAATATTGGCTAGGGTAGTCAGATGTATTATGCCTTACTGAGTATGATTTTTTTTTTTTAGGTAGAATAAAAATGGGTGTCTCAGGCTGGGATTGTGGCTCAGTGGCAGAGTGCTTGACTAGCACATGGGAGGC